GAGGCCTCTCAGCCGCGAGTGTGAGGAACTTGTCGCAGCCCGCTACCCCCCCCCCCACAATCCCACCCTCTGCCACCGCACATTCTCCACCTTCTACTCCAGGTCTTGCACCTGCTCCTCCAGATGTTCCACCTGCTACTCCAGATGTTCCACCTGCTACTCCAGGTCTTCCACCTGCTACTCCAGGTCTTCCACCTGCTACTCCAGGTCTTCCACCTGCTACTCCAGGTCTTCCACCTGCTACTCCAGGTCTTCCACCTGCTACTCCAGACGTTCCACCTGCTACTCCAGACGTTCCACCTGCTACTCCAGACGTTCTCGCTCTTGATGTTGCAGGGCCCAGCACCTCAAGTGCTGTTGCAGTCGTGTAATGGTAGAATTTGCCATGGCAATGACAGCTGTCAACTATAACGCTGGGTATGTGATGGGATCACTGAACAACCTCCTCGGTCTACCACAAAGTGACGTACGGGACTGGTACTTGAACAAAAAGGACAAGGATATGCAGAGACCAACGAGACCCACAACCAAACCAAGAAAGGCCCCTGAGGGAGCTGACCCCGGCTATGGCGCAGGTGCCTACTAGTGCCACTCCAGTGCCACCTTGAGGACCCATATTTCTGACCAATTATATTAGGTTAGTATGTTTTAGTGTTATATTGTGATATTACTTCATATATATTTGTACATATAAAACTGGTGGCAAATATATATATATATATATTTATTATTTTTTTTTTTTTTTTAATATTTTTTTTATTTTATTTATCAGGCGATCTGCATGGAACTTGCACACCTTACTGAACCCATGCCTATCTACAAGGGTGCAAATTTTGAATGATATTGGTCAACATCAACCTCAGCTAAAGGTGGCTGAACTTTAACCTCCGTTTGTGCAGGTAAATATTTTACAATTTTATCTGATTTCACAGACTTTATTTATTATTCAATTTACATGAAACTTGCACAATATATGTAGAGTTTATGCCTCTAAAACATTGTGGTGGCTTTTCTTTCTACGCAGATTTATTGATTTTATAAATATTTATAAATATCATATTCTTGCATAGGATTTTTGGGAAATTTACAAAATCTGTATTATTGCACTAAATACATCTGGGATAAAAATCCACCAGACAAATCTTTATTATATAGTAAGGTCATAGCTAAGTGTCATAGAACTGATTTCGGTTCACAATTGTGGGCTGTGAAATGATTTGAACATTGTTGCAAAATTGTCTAAAAAAAATTTTTTATTTTTTTTCTCCCTCTCTATTTAGGTTGCGATGCTGAAACTTGGCCCAGTTGCAGCACCTTTCACATGTATCAGGATAATAAATTTTCAATGCCCTAAAACAACTTTTAATTTTCATCTAACAAACCCCTTAAGAAGCACATCAACAAACTGGAAAAGGTGCAACGACATGCCACTAAGTGGCTCCAAGAACTGAAGGACAAGAGCTATGAGGAGAGATTAGAGGCATTAAATATGCAAAAACTAGAAGATAGAAGAAAAAGAGGCGATATGATCACTACGTTCAAAATAGTAACAGGAATAGATAAAATTGATAGGGAAGAATTCCTGAGACTCGGAACTTCAAGAACAAGAGGTCATAGATTTAAACTAACGAAACAAAGCTGCCGGAGAAATATACGAAAATTCACTTTTGTAAACAGAGTGGTAGACGGTTGGAACAAGTTAAGTGAGAAGGTGGTGGAGGCCAAAACCGTCAGTGGTTTCAAAGCATTATATGACAAAGAGTGCTGGGAAGACGGGACACCACGAGCGTAGCTCTCATCCTGTAACTACACTTGGGTAATTACACACACACACACACAGAGGCTACCTCAATTCTCTCCCTCCCTCACCAAAATTCCTTCTTCCACAATACTTCGCACAACGCTAATTATAACCACAATCCTGGTCACTAATTCCTGTAAATGAATAATTGACCACACGTTTATTTTGAAAAGGAACCTAAGAAATCATTTGAAGATTCCTAGATGGACGAAATAATGCTGTGGTGCTGTGGCTAGCGCTGTGAACATCGTGAACAGCATTGAATCACTGATATTTGAACATTGTACCCAGTCATTATCACACTCAGGCTCTTCTATAACACTATCATGGCTAAATAATACAAGTTATATATATATTTTGACATTATTAGGCGATGCTGTGGTCACATGTTGAACAGCAGTGCTGTGCGCTCATGCTGCGAGCGCCAGCCTTGGTTGCTCACTCACTACTGAGGCTCTGACACCCGGCAATGTGGACCACGATTTTTTTTAAAGATGACGTCTGTTTACAAGAGCCCTGAGGAAGCTGATGTGAACCCCATGTAGCCGCGGGAGTTTTGAATGGAACGTGAAAAATACAAATATCCGGAGGCACGTTGCGCAAACCAGACATGAGCCTGCAGGCGCGTTGCGCAGTTTAAGGATTAATGCCTCTAACCTCTCCTCGTAGCTCTTACCCTTCAGTTCTAGGAGCCACTTAGTAGCATGTCTTTGCACCTTTTCCAGTTTGTTGATGTGCTTCTTAAGATATGGGCACCACACAACCGCTGCATATCCTAGCTTTGGCCTAACAAGTCGTGAACAATTTCTTTATGTAGTCCTCAGGTGATTGTTTTCTATCTAGAACCACCCCTAGATCTCTTTCTTTATCAGAATTCTTTAAAGATTTCTCACATAATATATAGGTTGTGTGGGGTCTATGTTCTCCTATTTCACATTCCATAACATGGCATTTAACATTAAATTCCATTTGCCAAGTGGTGCTCCATATACTCATTTTGTCCAGGTCTTCTTGAAGGGCATGACAATCATCTAAGTTTCTTATCCTTCCTATTATCTTAGCATCATCAGCAAATATGTTTATATAATTCTGTATACTAACTGGTAGATGATTTATGTAGACAATGAACATTCTTGAGGTTATCTTGAGATGATTTCGGGGCTTTTTAGTGTCCCCGCGGCCCGGTCCTCGACCAGGCCTCCACCCCCAGGAAGCAGCCCGTGACAGCTGACTAACACCCAGGTACCTATTTTACTGCTAGGTAACAGGCGCATAGGGTGAAAGAAACTCTGCCCATTGTTTCTCGCCAGCGCCTGGGATCGAACCCAGGACCACAGGATCACAAATCCAGCGTGCTGTCCGCTCGGCCGACCGGCTCCCCAGTACATTACCTGTACATGTACTGTGGTATTCCACTTGTGACATTTCTCCAGTCCAATACATTGCCTCTGATTACTGCCCTCATTTTTCTATCAGTCAGAAAATCTTTCATCCATGTTAGAAGCTTTCCTGTCACCCCTCCAATATTTTCCAGTTTCCAGAACAACCTCTCATATGAAACTCTGTCGAAAGCCTTTTTTAGGTCCAGATAGATGCAGTCAACCCAACCATCTCTTTCCTGTAAAATCTCTGTGGCTCGATCATAGAAACTGAGTAAATTCGATACACAGGATCTTCCAGAGCGAAAACTGAACTGTCTGTCTGATATTATATCATTTCTCTCCAGGTGCTCTACCCATTTAGTTTTTATTATTTTTTCCAATATTTTCACTATTATACTTGTGAATGATACAGGTCTATAATTGAGGGGGGTCTTCCCTGCTGCCACTTTTGTAAAATGGAACTATGTTAGCCTTTTTCCACACATCTGCTACAATTCCTGTACACAGGGATGCCTGAAAGATCAACAGGGATGCCTGAAAGATCAGTTTAAGTCGAATGCTGAGCTCAGATGTACATTCTCTCAGAACCCATGGTGAAACTCCATCTGGGCCAACTGCTATGTTCTTACTTAGCTCCTTTAGCATATTTTCCACTTCATCTCTAGACACCTGTATATGCTCTATGTTGTTCTCTGGAATTTTTATTGTGTCTGGTTCTCTGAAGATCTCTTTGTACAAACACACTTTGGAACTAATGTTTCACACATTTCATTTTCATTTTCCGTGTATCTGTCCCCCATTTTCAACCTCTGAATATTATCCTTTACCTGCAGCTTACTTTTAATGAATTTATAGAAAAGGACTGGATCCGATTTACATTTGTCTGCTATATCATTCTCAAAGTTCCTCTCTGCCTCTCTCCTTACTGACGTGTAGTTGTTTCTTGCACCTTTGTATCACTGGTATTTTGGGGGTTTGGCCTCTTTCTATAATGATTCCATGCTTGTGTCTTTTGATCTCTGGCCCTCTCGCAATTTCTGTTGAACCAACCCTGTTTGCTAGGTCTGCATGACTGTTTTGGTATGAATGTTTGTGTGCCTTCATCATATATTGTGCAAAATTTGGCATATCTACATTTGAAACTGTGTATGGAGTCAGCCTCCACCACATCACTTCCTAGTGCATTCCATTTATTAACTACTCTGACACTGAATAAATTCTTTCTAACGTCTAATGTGTCTTTCTTTCCAATGTGATGTCTTTCTACAGATAAGTGTTAAAATGTAGAGAAACACAAGTGTCTTTAGACAGATTCTTAGTAAGACAAGCAAACAGTGAGCTACAAGCAGGTCCTAGTGGTATGCGGGCAAAACATGCCAGAGTGTATCTCAGAGAAGTCATCACTGCCTGATGTTATAATGGAAGGGGGACTCCCTTTCCAAACAGTAACACCTCTCCTTTTCCCCCCCTCATCACCATCTTCCATACGCCATCAAGAGTCCTCCATAAAGGTAAGATACACTTATGTACTGTATTGTAGTTAGAGAAAAAAAATTGTATTCAGTATAAAATGTATTTGTAAGTTAATATTTTGGAGGGTGGGGAACTTATTAATTTAATTTCCTTTATTTCTTATGGGAAAAATCGCTTTGACTAACGATATTTCGACTTACGATACGTCTCTGAGAACGGATTACCATCGTAAATTGAGGCCCCACTGTACATACATAAGTGATTATTAATGTTAATTAATATTAATTAATTAAGTGATTATTAATTTGTATATAAAGGATTATGCAGAAGCCAATTTGCTGTACCTTGATCCAAACTGCAACTGCTTGTGTCAACAATTTCCAGGAAGTGTAACGGGTCTCGATCAGGAAGGCAGTTTTCATCTTGTTGATAATTCATTGATGTCTCATCCTCACCACCAGCACATACTGAACATTACAAGAAAAAAAATTACTTTTAATATATAAAATGTATATTAATTAATGTCATACTATCAACTGAATTTGAAACATGACAATAAATGCACCAGAGTCTGACACTTGCCTATTGAAGTGATATACCAGTTCTGTACTAAGCATAAATGCAACGAGAACAGTGCCTTTATAATTTAATAAAAATTAAATGCTGTACAAGAGAAATGTAATTGTGTAACCCAACAATATTTATAAATAACATATATATAATTATGAGTAATGCAGACAGAATTTGTTATTACCATTATCACAACTATTGCTATTCATCCTTTGTTCACCTTTACTTCCATTTGTCTTCCTCTTGTTTTTATTTATGCTCGAATCTTCTTGTGGTTGAGAAATGTTAAACATGAGACTGTCTTGAGTGCCTTCCTCCCTCTCATCTCCGTCCAGAATACACGCTGAGAAACACATTTTGATTATTTAAAACACAAAAGATTTTCTGCAATATGTGTTAACATATGCCACAACATCAACTGAATGTGTTTTATATATATATATATATACAGTATATCATAATACACTAACTAGGTCAGCAATTTCAAGGTGCAGGTGCTCATGTAGTTTAGCTTTGTTCCCTACTCTAAAACATTTCATATCACTTCTCTAGTAAAGTTGGAAAATTAACAAAAAAAATTATATTAGACTAATTTCAGATCACTACTTTTGATTACCATGAGCACCACAGACTATTCATCCCATTAATTCCATTACCTGCATTCCGTTTAGAACTGTTATCATTTGCTTGCTTCTCCTGAGTATGTGCTGAAAAATATGAAAATCATGGATTATATATATTTTCATTTGACTCCCAAAGTGCAGCTATGATTAATGGTAACACTACCTGTCTGCAAAATAAAACAAAACAGTGTTGACTGTAATGAAATGCCTCTTTCTTGTAGACGCTCAGTGGCTCCCTGAAGGTAGCTTATCAAGAGTGCTCCCCTACAGTTACATCAGCCATAAGGAGTCCTGTTTGGCCTACCAGGGATCAGAGTCACAACCTAGCCCCTCAGAGGTACTGGGAACAGGGGATTGTTACAATCACCCTGAGAAAACGTCCAGAAAGTATGCCAAGCAACACAGACAACTGCAAGATTTAAAGAAGATAAAGCCCTGAAACAGCCAAACGACTCTTGCAAATGATTCATTCAGAAACTAGCACCAACCCCTTAAAAGTTATGAATGGACACCAACAGGTGCCACCACGACTGAAAGCTCCTGGCTTCCATACCATCTTGGCCTCAGTTCAGAGCTGAAGCATCATAAACTGATGCCCTGGTAGAGAAAAAGGGAGGGGAAGGGAATGGAATTAGGCAGCCTCCGAGGAACAACCAGAACGAGGCATTTCCTTACATTCAATGCTGGGTTTTTGGAGGGGGAACCCTTGGAGACTTCCTGCAGCTAACCAAACACACAACAAGAATAGGGCTTACAGGAATGAGAGGCCGCAAACACTAGGAAAAAGAAGAGAACCCATGTCAAGAGACAAGGCCCTCAGCAATACATGACCGATTGGAGCCAGGAATACTGACTAAATATCAGGATACCAAACTCCTGTTAGAAAGCCAAAACCCCAGAGCCTAAGTATCATACCAGGACATGCTGGAGAAGATTGCAGCAAAAGCTGAGGATTTGTGACTATCATGGGCCTAAGGGCAGACTACAGGTTGGCTAGATTTAATGAGACTGAGGACAAACCTGAGAAATGCAAGGCATGGAACAGGGAACAAAGGAAATTGGCTCAACCAACAAGTCATATACCAAAACAGAACCAGTGACACAAGTAGCAGCAAAGATCCACCATCAGATGCAATAAATGATGCATCCCAAGCCGACGCACCATTTGCCTAAGCATCAATCACCCAAGGAACCCTCCAGAAGCCTGCTGTCTCGTTCTTTGCCAGAAATAGAGAAGGCAGCAAACAAACCACCACCAGAATCAAAGGAAAACAACCCCTGCTTGCAGAGAAGAGCCTGAAGCTCCCCAGCCCTAAAGCAGAGGCGAAAGCCAACATGACAAAGATATCACAAGCCGAAGGGGAAACCGCATACTGAGGTAAAGAGACAAAACCAGAACCAAGTCAAGAGACCAGGATGGCTCACGAGCAGAATGACTGAAGTCATTCTGACTGAAGTCCCAAACTAGGCCCAGCCAAGTCCAAAACCGAGATGGAACCACTCAGGAAGAGAAAGAGAGAGAGCACCCAGTCCAATGACCAGGACAGCTCAGGCGGCGCAAGAGCAGGCCGTAGGTGAAAAAACTCATGAGATAGCTTGCAGAAAGGAGCAGAATTGACATCCTCCTTGAACGCAAGATGAAGCGGCTCCACCAGCACCGCACGATACGAGGGGACAGAATTCAGCATAACATGATGGTCCTGCAACCCGTTCTCGCAAATTTAATAAGTCAATATTGACTTATTAAATATGTGCATAGGTGACATACTTAACATAATAGATACCCTTAAAAAGATTCATAGAAAACACCGACCTTACCTAACCTTGTTAGTATCTTAAGATAAGCATCTTATTGCTTCATAATTACAATTATTACCTAACCTATAATAGGTATAGGTTAAGTAATAATTGTAATTACGAAGCAATAAGATGCTTATCTTAAGATACTAACAAGGTTAGGTAAGGTCGGTGTTTTCTATGAATCTTTTTAAGGGTATCTATTATGTTTAGTATATCACCTATGCACGTAGTTAATAAGTCAATATTGACTTTACGAATTTGCGAGAACGGGTTGGGTCCTGACACAGCCAAGAGAGAGAGAGAGAGAGCAAAACAATCTGATCAGAAATTGAAGACAACCTACGAAGAGACAAAAAGTGACGAAAGGACCAACAGGAAACTTCATACTGCTGCCAAGGCGAGACACGCAGGTGGACCACCATCAACGAAGCCACCTGATCACCATACAAGTGGTAATAAACCCGCGTCAGAAAGACCAGACGTGAAGATCAGAGGAGAAGAGCAAACTAGCCACATACCGGACTTAACCAGGCTCTGCTGAAATAGGCGGAGCCGCAGAAAGAACCCCAGGTTTGGGCGAGCAATGCCTGAAACCAAGAGTCCAACAGGACTACCTTTCCCTGGTATGTTTCCAACCGACCCAGAACCCAAAGCAACAGCTGGACCGGAGGGAAGAGGTACAGGTAACCCCACCTTGACAAGTCCTGCCAAAAGACAACGAAACCGATGGCCTCGTGTCAGTCGGGGAAAGACACCACATATAACAGATGCCACGACCACCCTGACGCAAAGAGGTCCACCATTTGGTGCCTATACATCCAGCAGAGCCAACTAAAGGAGTCGGTGTCAACCGTCTATTCTGTGGACAGGAGAATGACCTGAGACGGGCCGTCCGCCAGGACATTGGGACACTCACTGGATATGAATCACTCGGAGAGCCAAATCCCAAGAATCCAGCAGACGAGTCATCTGAAGAGACCAGCCCCAAATAGCCAAGGACTGCATTGAACCCCCGCAGTTCAAACAATGAACCACTGGGGAGCAGTCCGAATGAAGCTGCATCGTCGATCCACAGGTGACACGAACCCTCTGAAATGTGTCACCCGCCATATTTCCCGAAATGAAAGCCACACCGCTGCGAACTCCTGCATCGTGCTGTGAGCCCAATGGAAGAATGGACCCCACCGACCCTGGTGGGCATGGTGAGCACTGGTCACAAAGTCTCAGCCGAGAGATGATGCATCCATGAACACATCGAACGATGGCTCAGGTAGGCACCACGGCACTGAACCCCGAAAAAACAGAAGAGGAAGCCGGTGACGCAGCAGCTGATGCAAGGCCCCCGGGGAACAAACCCAGCGATCGTGAAAGCGGCGGAAGAGACGTCCCTGAAGGAACCAAAACAGCCGCCAAAGCCAGATTCGACTCGACGGGTAGACCAGCACGGCGAACTTCAGAGTCCCGCACAACTGCTCGAATAACCGACGAATGACCTTGGTGCCCTCCAGAAACAGCCGAAGGCAGAAATGCAGCCTTAGCAACGCTGCTGGAAGGAGTGACAAGGAAGTGGTCTGAGAGTCCCACACAAGACCCAACCAAGTCCAAACCTGAGAGGGAACTAAAAGGGACTTTCTCCAGTTCATCAAGTACCCGAACCCAGCGAACTAGGAAAGAACCAAATCCCTGGCGAGGAGACACATGGATCGGCTGGAGGCCCAAACCAGCTAGTCGTTGAGATAGGCTAGAACCCGAACCCCTAGCAGACGCAAATGGGCAACCACGACCCAAGTAAGGCATGTGAAAATGAAAGGAGCCAGCCTTCCATTTAAGCCAAATGAAAGACAATGAAAGCAGTAAGCATGCCACCCCACAACAAAACCAAGCCAGTCCCTGAACCCCGGATGAATCGGGACATGCCAACACATCCCGATTCTAGACGTCAACACCTCTGGGTCCGATCCAGGACCCAGAGGTCCTGACACACCATCCAAGTTCACACCATCCGGCTCCAAAAGCAGCTGGACCTGGAACAGAGTGGTCAACCGAAAGGCGGGGCAAAAGACCTAGGGGTTAAGACGGGCCAAGTTCAGAATAAACCTCAGATCCGCACAGTCCCCTTTCAGCACTGGAACAGGCACGAAACCCATCTGAGGGTTGTCGTCATTTCGACCACGCCCAAGCGTACCCACTCCAGGATGACCTGACAGCAAGCAGAAGAGGCAGCCCCGCCAACCCGGAACCCCCCGAAGGAGGAGGAGCCGCCCAACACCACTGGTGGCCGGAAAAAACGACCCGAAACACCCACGAATCGTGGGACCAGGCATGGGCAAACAAGGCAAGCCTCCCCCTCCCCCACATCGCCCTGTCAACAGGGCACACCACAAAAAGGCCGACAACTCTTATAAGAAGCCAAACAACACGCAGAGCAATTACTGCACTGACCAGACGTCTTCGGCTCTGAAGGGGGGACCAGCCCCAAATCTGGCACCACTAGCCCACCACGACCAAAGGAACCCCGAACCTTGGCACAACCCTTCCGGGCAGGACTCCCGCGGCCTTCCTGGAGAACAAACAAGTCCGACATGGGACGGCAACTAGACGAAGCCGCCTGCAAATACTGCACAACCTCAGACTCTGCAAATAGTTAACGAGCAAAAAGGAGCCGAAAATCGAAGAACCAGGGGCCCAAGCAGATTCCAAAGAGTGAGCAAGCACTACCTGGCGGCATGTGAGCCAAGAAGCAAAGAACAGAGAGACCGCTTCTTTCAGAATTGGTGCAAACAACTTCAATAAGGCAGCCGGCGCCTGAGCTGCCGAGGCAAGCGCACCGGACGCAGGCCCAGATGCAGAAAAGGGGATCCACAGTGCTTCCACATCCTCCTTAAGCCAATCCGAAGACATATCAAACAGGGAAAAGAAGTGCAAGGCCGAAGCCAAATGCCCATGGGCACGCAAGTCCTCAGCTACCAAGGACGCCGAAAGGAGGGAAACCTGCACGTGAAGCAATAGCTGACCAATATCTTGAGGAAGAACGGGCAAACAAGCACACATTGAGATGCTCAAACTTGCCCCCCAGGTAAACCTGAACCACAGTAGTAGTAGTTTCCCGCCACTCAAGCATGCGGAGTACGACAGAACGCATGACACATCCACAACAAAAAGGATGGGCAGTCTGCCAACCAGGAAGACTCCAGCACCTCGTTATGCACCCAGTAAGGAAAATAGAAACCAAACTCAAACGAAGAAGAATCCATTATCGAGGTGAAATCCGCGTCTGCTTGATGGGGTTCTGGGAGTTCTTCTACCCCCCAAGCCCGGCCCGAGGCCAGGCTTGACTTGAGAGTGTGGTCCACTAGGCTGTTGCTTGGAGAGGCCCGCAGGCCCATATACTCACCACAGCCCGGTTGGTCCGGCACTCCTTGGAGGAAACAATCTAGTTTCCTCTTGAAGATGTCCACAGTTGTTCCGGCAATATTTCTTATGCTCGCTGGGAGGATGTTGAACAACCACGGACCTCTGATGTTTATAGTGTTCTCTGATTCTGCCTATGGCACCTCTGCTCTTCACTGGTTCTATTCTGCATTTTCTTCCATATAGTTCACTCCAGTACGTTGTTACTTTACTGTGTAGATTTGGGACCTGTCCCTCCAGTATTTTCCATGTGTATATTATTTGGTATCTCTCTCGTCTCCTTTCTAGCGAGTACATTTGGAGAGCTTTGAGACGATCCCAATAATTTAGGTGCTTTATCTCGTCTATGCGTGCCGTAAATGTTTTCTGTATTCCCTCTATTTCAGCAATCTCTCCTGCTTTGAAGGGGGAAGTGAGTACTGAGCAGTACTCAAGACGGGACAACACAAGTGACTTGAAGAGTACAACCATTGAGATGGGATCCCTGGATTTGAAAGTTCTCGTAATCTATCCAATCATTTTTCTGGCCGACGCTATATTTGCTTGGTTATGCTTTTTTTTTTGTCTCTCAGGAAGTACGAAGCAATAGCCTCCCAGTTATCCTCAGGTGTGATGCGGGAAGCCGAAAACCTCTGGAAAGAGGGAACCGAGGAACCCAAGGAAACCCGGAACCGAACTCTCATCAAACTCGTACAGGGAGGGGGGAATAAGAAACCCCTCCCCCTTCCCCCTTCAACAACAAGCCCTGTGCTGAGGGTACCAACCCCTAAGCGGGGTCAAATGGGGACCATACTCCTCCCCAGCCTCCAAGTCAGATGCAGGTCAGGAGCCGGGGCAGAGCCAGCCTCCAAACCCTCTGCCTCTGGAGAAAAAGCAGAGTCCACCGGAAAAGCAGGGAAGAAGGGGGCTCCACTGGTCCAATCCAAAAGCCACGGCAGGAGGAACCAGTTCAAATGCCTCTGCCTGAACCGGAATGGGCAGCCCCCGAAACCGCCCGAGTCTCACCGAAATCAATACACACAGAAATCACAATAGCACGATGTATCAAATGAACAAATAAACAAATATCAAGGCCCTTGTCAAGGCCCTTGTGGATTTGTTTATTTGATATATCATGCTATTGTGATTTGTGTATAATGAAGTAGGGGCATAGAGGTAGAACATTTGGTTGACAGAGTATTCCCCCATGCATTCCCCAAATGCACGGGGGAATTGTGTGAAACTGACATTGTGCTTCGGAAAAGCTTCAGGATCCTAGTGAGGGTAGTAGCACTTCAGGATGCAATTCTTTTGACCATGTGGTAGTACAATTGACTAAGGTGCGTCTGGGAACATGCCGTACGTAAGTTCGAACCCTCATCAAGGCCCTTGTATATTTGTTCAGATTCAGGAATTCTGGAAGAGATTCAGCTATTCTTTAAAAGATCGGTTTGTAAGGTAGGATTGAAAAAATCCAGATATTCTTGGAAGGATCTAGGAAAAGCTCAATGACAAAATTGTCCTGGTATCACTCATATTACACCTGTATATGGGAAAGTGGGTGCATCTATAAAAATTGGAAATAACAGGGTGGGCATGGGTGACGCTCAGCTACTATTGGATACGCTATTGTATCTGCTCGCTGTATTGTACTCATTGTTGCTCTATCACTTGCATCCGACCCTTGTGTAAGGTCCTTATTGTGCCCAGCTTCTTTAATATCATGACCCTTATTTTCTTTAACAATAAGGTCTGAGTTTCAAGGACAGAGAGCGATGTTTCAACACCGTGTCAGACAGGAGTTGGGAGCCAGAGGCACGTGCACCACCCATGGTTGCTCACTTGAAACTGATCCAGCTAGCAGCCCTAGGGAATTCTAGAAATTTTTTCCAAGATGGTTGCCTCTCACTGGAGGTCCCAGGAGTCCATTTCGTACTCAACCAACAGCGCTCCCATTTTGAATGGGCACGAGATCTTGAATTGGTGTTTTTTCGGTTTTAGCCGAACGAGTTTTCACAGCCAGTGCAGCAAGAGAGGTTAGAGGCATTAAATATGCCAAAACTGGAAGACAGAAGAAAAAGAGGTGATATGATCACTACATACAAAATAGTAACAGGAATTGATAAAATCGATAGGGAAGATTTCCTGAGACCTGGAACTTTAAGAACAAGAGGTCATAGATATAAGCTAGCTAAACACAGATGCCAAAGAAATATAAGAAAATTCACTTTCGCAAAAAGAGTGGTAGACGGTTGGAACAAGTTAGGTGAGAAGGTGGTGGAGGCCAAGACCGTCAATAGTTTCAAAGCGTTACATGACAAAGAGTGCTGGGAAGACGGGACACCACGAGCATAGCTCTCATCCTGTAACTACACTTAGGTAATTACAGTGGTTAAAAGCAAATAGCAGGTAAAGGATAAAATTCATAGATTGAAAACTGAAAACAGAAACCTGTTTTCCTTTTTCATTCTTGAAAAATGAAAAAGAAATATGTGAAACACTAAAGCAGTTCCAAAATTGTGTGCAAAATGAGTTTTTCAGTGAACCAGACAATAGAATTCCAGAGAACAGAGTACATATAGGTCTCTCGAGAAGAAATAGAAAAAATGCTCAAAGAGCTGAATAGGAACAAAGCAGTTGGCCCAGATGGAGTTTCACCTTGGGTTCTGAGAGAATGTGAATCCGAGTTCAGCACTCCACTTCAATTTATTTTCAGTCGCCTTTGTCAGAAATTTCAGACAGCATATTACTAACCCCTACATACCAGATTGAGTAGTTATGTCAGGCAATTACTAACTTTGCGAAGAAAATGTTCCTAGAGACTCTTCAGAAATAATGGAGGAGTATTGCATCAGCCAATGTCGACGAATCTAATAAACTTGTTAGTGAACGTAACTCTTCCTGTATACAAGTTAAATTTACTAGAAAACTCTTATTAAAATCAGATTCAATATCAATATCACAGATTTTATCTGTGAATAAATAAATATCATCCTTCCCCCACAGATAATAAATTTAGCTGAAAATTAGACGCTACCAGAATCTTGAGGAAGGAGAGGCGGGTGACGCCACGGTACGCCAGAGCTTACACAGACCTCCAAGCCGTGCAGACATGTCAGGATGCGTTCCTGATTACAGGTGCATACATAGTATTTCCTGCAATTCGTCCTTCAGTATCTTCAGAATCCATCTAAGCCACAAATTCGCTACTTGGGGAGTATTGTACCCTGGACCAATAGTAAGACTGATATTGCTTTGGCCATAGTAATATATAGTTTTTGTGGTTTCAGTTATGAAGCTGGCGAGGGACCTATCAAAAGTAAGCTCATTTCTCGCTAGAGACAATCTTTTCTGTTAATAACGCCTTAGTTTACTGCTGGTATTATAATCTAACCATTTCAGAGGTAAAATTTGGGAGGAAGAAGAGACTACATACAAGCATCAATTCGACCCTAGTACCCTGATGCCATTATATTCTAGAATCTTCGACGTGGCTTCTCTTGATCAGGTCGGGTGTATGAATGCAGTACTAATTAGCCTGATGCTACATCCATAAGAGAGGGATTTCTTGAGCCTGTAATCAGGCCATTCCTATGTTTAAGCTAAGGCCTTAAATTCTCCGTACTAATAAGTATATTAACACGTAGAAGAAGTAGTAGTATTCTATTGTTACTCAATTTATATTGATATAGACTATATACATACATAAATAATCCCGCAAATTATGTGCAAAGGGTAAACCCAGTAGGAGATCAGTTAATATATTCTACTTTATCATAAAGTCCGCTTAATCCAATAAATAAATACAATAACCACCTGCTGGGAAAATCCCCACAGCCTTTGTGTGTAAGTCTTGGCAGACATATGGAAAAAGGCTAACAAAGTTTCAATCTACAAAAATGGTAGCATGGGAAACTCTAAATTACAGACTTGTATTGTTGACAAGCATAGTACAGTAGTCAAAATATTAGAAAAATAATTAACACCAAATGGCTAGAACACCTGGAGAGAAATTACATTAACAGACATTTTGGTTTTAGATCAGAAAGATCTTTTGTGATGAATCTGCTTAGTTTCTATGACAGACCCAGAGAGATTTTACAGGAAGGAGATAGTTGGGTTGACTGCATTTATCTGGACTTGAAAAAAGGCTTTCAATAGAACCCCACAAGAAGAGGTTGTTTTGGAAACTGGAACATGCTGGATGAGTGACAGACTTCTGACATGAAAATGAGGGCAATAATCAGGTAATTTTTCAGACTAGAGAAATTATACCAGTAGAGTACCACAGGATACAGTTCAAGCACCAGTAATGTTCATTGTCTACATAAACAATATTCAGAGGGAATACAGAATAATATAAATATGTTTGCTGATGATGCCAAGGTACTAGGGAGGATAAGAAACTTCAACATTAGTCTTGCCCTACAAGAAGACCTGGACAAAATAAGTGTATGGAGTAACACTTGGCACATGTTTCATGTGTGAAAGTTGGGTGAGGCTAGCCCCAGGCATCTGGCTTCTTACTATGAACAAACAGGCATTCTGTTTTATACACAAAGGGATACACATATATGAAGAAAACTAATGAAGAGGTCAATGCAAAATAAACAAAGGAAATATTTACCAAGGTAAAACCAATCGATTAAATTTTTTTCCGTCTCTTTTGACAGGCCACTCCCTGGCAAGATACTTTTAATTGTTCTTTGACCGCAGGCTTTATAATATACCGTAGCAATATGGTAGCCGCCGCCTCTCAATTTGGAGCTCTGAAATAATATAACAGTTCACAAATTAGAATAAATGTTGTTCTCTTCAGAAAACAGTGAGAGACAGATGAAATCAATTAAAAGAGAGGGCAATATTTTCTAGTACTGTACAGTACAACAATGAATATAACGAGTGATCACATGACTTTAGCTCTCATCTTGTAACTATACTATTTAGATATTTATTAAAATGAATAACAGCCCCCTAAACCCCCTGATGTCCCGGGTTGGTTATAATCAGTATATTAAAGACCTCGGCACATCTGGTTCATTTACTTACTTGTGAGTACTTAAAGGAACCAGGCGAAGGCATTACCTCCATAGTAATCACCTCGATACATATATATTGACCTATGTGATGCTCTGAAGGCTTATAAGTTTCTAATAATAATGTATTGGATGCTTGTTTTGAACATTGGTTTACTAACTAATCTGAGGACGCGTTGCTAAACCCATTCTCTTGGTCCTCTCCCAACTATACAACAATATTAACTTATTACATACTTGTTTGACCAAAAATTTTATTGAAAAATAGTTTATTCATAACTTAGTTTTCCTCTACATATCTTTTTACACACATTGTTAACTATGTAAATCATTAATATTTATATGGCATTACAGTATAGTACAGAACCTAATGAAAATTAAAAATATATAGTATACATACATTTTTAGTACCAAATAATAAAAAATACAAATGAATGCATTATCATCATTTAATGACTATATCTATAACTATTATTCTGCTATAAGTTCAGCATCAATATATTTTGAAAACAATTTGGTATGCTTCTAATTCCTAAGACAGTACTGTATACGTGCCATACTTACATGTTTCTTAATAGCCGTTAGTGATCTGCTCAGAATTTTATAATTAGCAGCTCTTTTCCCCATCTCCTCTTGACGAGCCTCCTTTTCTTGCTCCGCTTTAAGTCTAGCCTCAAAAAAGCTGTAGCCACAGTTACAAACATGTCTACGAACATTTACGAGATCACTACAATTTGGACAATACCTCTGGAAGCGTTGTTTCAGGCCTGAAAAATTAGAGTTATTTGAGGCATCATAGAGACAACTTTTAGTGAACACTGCAAAACTTAAATGATTTTAATTATAATGAATATTTAGCCATTATTGGGAAAAACATTTATTAAACTCTTTAGGGAATGTAAAGGCACTCTCATAGCAATAGTCACCAGTTACAGAACATTATGTTAAAAACTCAACACAATGTAATACAACACCTCTTTCTGGCGAGCCTAAGTCCTTTCAACATGCCTGAGTCCAGCCATGTTGTGATAACCCAGTTCATACACCAAGAAGACTCCTGACCTGCGAGCCCAGACACCTAGAAAGTGGGGAGGGACCAAACAACTCCACTGCAGACAGAGGGAAATGACCAGAAAGGCCCACAAAGCATGGGGCCAGAAGTCGGCAAAAATGGAGCAGGCCAAGAAGCATGCCACTACCACCTCCCGAAGAATACAGGCTGGCACCATGGGAAGGCCATCAACGTAAGCACTTCTGGCCACAAGGCCTTCACACCCAAGACTGAATCCTGCAAATCCGTCCCCTCATAGAGCTGGCCAATAACTCCATGAGCCCAAAAAAAAAAAAAAGTGTTGAATGTAATGAAACGCCATTTTCTGGGTGAGTCCCGGAGGCTCCCCGAAGCTTTCCCAGGCTGATATGCTAATGTCAGACTTTGGCATCAGTCATGTGTATGGAGTTCTTAGGCCTACCAGGGACCACGGCCAGAACCGGGCCCCCTCAGAGAGGCAAGGGGAGCAACGGCCTATAGAAACCCCCGTGTGGTTGGAAGCATTCTATGTTTGTCATTGACCGGATCAGGCACCCAGAAAGGTAAGGGCCTCAAAACAACCCCTATTCTGGTTAAAATTGCTACCAAAAGCCGAACTAGTGGATAGAATGCCCCAACAGAAAACAAGCAAACTAGTGTGACGTCAGACATCGCCGCGCCGCTGTCTGCACAGCTTCCCCCTCCCCAGGAGGGGGAAGGGGAAGTCCAAGACCTTTCACGCCGGCTACCCACCTCAGTTCTGAGGGTGGATGTCAAAAACACGAAAAAAACACCGACCGGAGGGAGGGAGCCTCTAGGACTCACCCAGAAAATGCCGTTTCATTTCATTCAACGTTGGTTTTCTGGGGGGAGCCCCGTTGGCTCCCCGGAGCTAACTACCCACAGAAGGAAAAAGAGAAAACTGGCTGCAACCGGAGACCCAAAGCAACACATGCCCGACGGGGCCAAGGGACATTCACGAGGTAACGAGCAGCCAGGACCCTGTTCGACCGCCAAAAACCCCGCGCCTCAATATCAGACCAAGACATATTTCCAAAGACGGCAGCAAGAGCCCCGAACTTATGGACGTCATGGGCATGGGGATAGACCGCAGGCTGGCTGGATTTGATAACCCTGCAGACAACCTGGGAGACCCGAACCCGCAAACAGGGAAGAAGGGAAACCGGATCAACCCAAAGCGCGTCCCGGGACACAGAAGCCGTGACGCGCAAATAACGGTGAAGCGCCGCAACCGGACACAAAGCATGATGCACCCCAGCCGGACCAACCAAGCATCAACCACCCACGGACCCCTCCGGAACACAGCAGTCTCATTCTTCGCTAGAAAAGAAGGAGACGGCTGCAAACAAACAAAACAATCTCCACGACCAAAAGAGGAGAAACCCCTGCGCCAAAGGAGAGCATAAAGCTCCCTGACCCGACCCCCAGAGGCTAATACCAACAAGAAAAAAGCCTTGGACAAACAATCCCGGACCGAAGGGGCCATAATGAAACGAGGAGACGAAAGATAAGCGAGCACTCAGTCCAAAGACCAGGACGGCTCAGGCGGCGCATGAGCAGGCCGGAGGTGAAACAAAGCACGAGACAGCTTGGGAAAGGCGCAGACGTAACATCGATACCGAAGGCAAGCTGAAGCAGCTCCGCCAGCGCCGCACGATACGAGGCGACAGTGTTAGGCATAAGATGACAGTCCTGAAACAATGAAGAGAGAAAGGACAAGACCACCCTAACAGACAATGAACTAACACAACAAAGACGCAAAAAAGAAACAGAAGGACCACCAGGAAACTTCATACTACCGCCGAGAAGAAGCCCCCAGGTGGGACACCAACAAGGAGGCCACCTGATCACCATAGAGATGATGATAGACTCGAGTCAAAAAACCCATACACGAAGACTCGAGGAGAAGATTGAACCAGTCACGTGACGTACCGGCCCGATCTGCTGAAAGAGGCGGAGCCGCGGGAAAACCCTCGGGTTCGGACACCGAGCAAGCAGTGCCTGAAACCAAGGCTGGGCTGGCCACCAAGGGGCCAGAAGGACAACTCTCCCCTGGTAAGTCTCCAAGCAAGTCAGGACCTGGAGTAACAACTGAACTGGGGGAAAGAGGTACAGGAACCCCCACCTCAACCAGTCGAAAGGCATCAACCCCGACGGCCTCGCGATCGGGGAAGGGCGCCGCATACACGGGAAGGAGCCGCGACCACACTGACACAAAGAGGTCCACCTCGGGGCGCCCGAACGTCTGGCAAAGCCAACGAAAGGAAGCACCAGAAACAGACAAAGGCGGGACCGCAGCCGCAGGAGAGACTCCGGAGGGAGAGACAAGGAGGCGGTCCTTGAGTCCCAAACGAGACCCAGCCAAGTCCGAACCTGAGAGGGGGACCAGATGGGACTTCCTCCAGTTCACCAAGAACCCGAACCCGGCGAGCTGGGAAAGAACCAAATCCCTGGCTAGCAAGCAAACCGACCGGCCGAGAGCCCAAACCAGCCAGTCGTCAAGGTAGGCCAACACCCGAACACCTAAGAGACGCAAATGGGCCATCACGACCCGCGTAAGGCGCGTGTACACGCGAGGTGCCAGGTTCAACCCAATCGAGAGACAACGAAAGCTATAACTCAGATGACCCACGACAAAATCGAGCCAGTCCCGGAACCTCGGATGAATCGGGACATGCCAATAAGCATCCCGAAGGTCCAGGGACACCATCCAAGCGCCCGGCTCCAAGAGACAACGTAGTCATCCGAAAGGAGGAGCAATGAACCCAGGGGTGCAGACAAGACAAGTCCAGAATGAACCGCAGGTCCGCGCAATCCCGTTTCGGGACCGGAAACAGACGGGAAACACATCTGAGGGACGACATCATTTCGACGACGCCCAAGCGAACCCACTCCAAGATGACCTGACAGAGCGCAGGGGAAGAAATCTGCCCTGCCAGCCCTGACCCCCCAAAAAGTGGGGGGGGGGCCACCCAACACCACCACAGGCCGACAGACACGACCCGAAACGCCCACGAATCATAGGACCAGGCGTGGGCAAACAGCACAAGCCTCCCTCCCATCGCCCAGTCAATGGGGCAAACCGCGAAAGGGCCAGTTCCCCTTACAAGACCCAGAACCCCGCATAGAGCGAACACCGCGCCGACCAGACAAGGGCGGGTCCGAAGCAGGAGCCGAACCTGACACCAGTGGCCTACCACTACGAGAGGAACCCCGAGCCCTGGCACGACCCTTCTGGGAAGATCCACTCCGGGACCCCCGGAAAACCAACAAGTCCGACTTTGGAGGACAAGCCAACAACACAGCCTGGATAAACTGCGCCACGTCCGACTCCTCAAACAGAAGAGGACAAAAAGGCGACAACAGCCTAAGAGCCAGAGCCCAAGCAGATTCCACGGAGGAACCCAGCACAGCCTGCCAACACGCGAGACGGGAAGCATAAAACAGAGAAACTGCATCCCGCAAAATCGGCATGAAAGGCTTCAACAAGGGAGCCGACGAACGTGCTACCGAGGACAAGGCGCGGACCCCGGGACGGACCCAAGTGTCCTCACATCCTCCACGAGCCAATCCGAGGACAGCTCCAGGAGGGAAAAGAACCGTAAGGTTGAAGCCAAAAGGCCCCAGGTGCGCAAGTCCTCTGCCTCAAGCGCTGCCGAAAGGGTGGGAACCTGCACATGGAGCTGAACAACGCCCACATCACGGGGAAGGGCAGGGGCAAACAAGCATTCGTTCAGGTACTCAAGATCGCTCCCCCAGGAAAACCTGAATCACCGTGGAAGCTTCCCACCACTTCAGCACGCGGGAACAACAGAAGGAATGCCAAAAATCCAGAACAAAGGGGCAGTCCGCTAGCCAGGAACACTCCGGAACGTCGTAAAGGAGCCAGAAATGGAACGAAGTCCCAAACCTGAACTCGGACTCCATTTCCGAGGCATAATCCAGGTCATGCAGGAGGTACACTGCAAGGGCTGCCCGCACCACACCAGGTTGGATGCGATAAGCCGAAAACCTCTGGAAAGACGGAACCGATGCACCCGGGGGAACACAGAACCGAACCCGGTGAGGGGCCGACACCATATTCAATTCGTACGCAGAGGGGGGAAAAGAAAACCCCACACCTTGTAACAACAAGCCCCGCTTAGAGGGAAGAAAAACCTAGGCGGGGTCCAGCGGGGCCCCAAGGCCCCCAAGTCAGCCTCTCCCCAGCCTTGAGGTCCTTTACAGCAGGACCCGGGGCCAAGTCCTCTCCCCAAGCACCAACCCCACAAGACAAGGATGGAGCAGCCGAAGAAGCTAGAAGAAAGTGGGCCCACTGATCAGACCCAGAAGCTTCGGCCGGAAGACAAGACTCGAATTCCTCTGCCGCCCCCCGGAAGGGGCATCCACCGAAGCTGCCCGAGTCTCGAGATCAAGTAACTCCTGCTCCGACTCCGAAACCCTCAGACACTTTGGGGCCGGAAGCAGGGTGGGGGGTGGGGACCAGAACGAACAACAGAAGGGGAAGGACAAGGAGGTGAGGATTGAACCAGGATCGAAGCGACCCCCACCCCCAATTCCGGGTCTCGAAAAGCAAAGCGGGGCAGCCCCGGGGCATCCGGGTGAGCATCCGGGTGAGCAACCAATCGAGCGCGTTACAACAGACGAAACCTAGCTTGCAACGCACGCGCTGCCTGTACCCGAATAGAATCATCAGAGGATTGGGTAAATTGAGTT